CCCCGGGCTCGAGATGGATGAGCTGCCTAGAGGCCCAGCGACGACAGGACAGGGTGGCCGGGACATCAAAGGAAGAAAGAGCACCTTCTGCATCCCCATCCGTCCAAGGGGGCTGGAGGTCACAACCGAGTCACTTAATTCTTGGCCTGGGGGGTGACCTTTAGGGAGGATGGGGGAGGGGCCGGGCCGGGCCAGGCCCACAGGAAACACTGCAGGCTGCAGACAGAAACCCCGAGTCGCCCAGGACTGCCTTTTTTGGGTGCCTGTGTCCTTAATTCCCCCGGGGATGTGGTTGAGAGGCGCCGGTTTCCCCGAGGCCCGCGCTGCCACTGCCGGCTCCCGGCCTCGCGGGGCACTTACAGTCCCCCAACGCCCTGAAAACCATGGTTTCACGCTGACACTTGCACCAGGAAAGCACAAGCTTGTGTGTGCCCTGATGCTTCAGGCCTATGCTGGGGATCCTGATGTCGAAGAAGAAAAAAAAAGGAAAAGAGCTCTTTTTCCTCCTCTGGAAAGAAACCCACGGTGGGGCTTTTGCCCACTGCCATCTCCCTGGGCTCCGAGGCTGCGGGCACCTGGGGAGGCAGCGGGGCAGGTGTGGCCATGGGGCGGGGCTGGGGAACGGTGGTCCTCCCCCTCTCTGGGCCTCAGTTTACCCAGACCGCTGGGTCCCTGGGGTCTTGACTCGGGGGCCTCTGGCCCGGTGCGATTTTGCTTCAGGGCTTGTGGGGGTGGGGTGGGGCGGCCATCGGCCGCCAGCGATGGGGCTGCCAAACTCGGGTCCCTCCACCCCATCGGCCAGGGGTCCTGGGCTTGGCTTCCCACTGGCTTCTCCGGGGTCAGTCGGCGGGGACACGCGGTGGGGATAGGCTTGGCACAGCTGGCAGGGCAGGGGCCCGAGAGAGAGGGCAGGCCTGGGCCCGGGGACCTGTGACCTCAGCACCAGGACCCCTTGTCCTCTTCGGGGCCTGGCAGCGGGAGGCCGGGACAGTAGGGGCGCAGGAGGACGGCTGGGTGTGCGCAGACCGAGCTCAGGCTGAAGGGATTAAGGCTTCTGTCCCGGACGGAGCAAAGGGTGACCAGTCGGCAGATGGCTGGTGGGCTGTCCTCGCCGGCAGACTCGCTCTACCAGCTGCCCCTCTGACCCTCGGGCCAACCCCGCTGTGCCCTGGCTTCCCCAACCCCCAGCCGTGGGGTGCGCCCGGGGTTTCTGGAACAGGCTTTGTTCTGTCCTGCTGTGCTGCCAGGCGTGGGCAGGCCAGGCGCCCCTGGGCCGCTGGCTGCCTGCGCAGTGTACGGGGGCAGCAGCGTGGGGTGGGGGCCTTTGTGGCTTCCCCCCTCCACCTGCATGGGTGGGGGAGCGGGCTCCCCGAAGCCCCAGGTGCTCCCGGACCGGCCGGAGAGAGCTGGGTGCTGGGGAGAAGCTTGGCCCTGGGTCTGCACCCCGCGGGAGCCGGCCATGGGGGTGCCGGGCATCCCGCCAGCCTTCGCAGCTGTGCACGGTCTGAGCCCCAGGGGCGCGAGGGGAGCAGAGGCGTCGGGAGAGGAGCTCAAGGCTCCGGGTTCCACCAGCCCGCATGCCTTGTGCCGGCTGCCCAGGGCCCTTCTGCTCGGGGGGGCCCTGGGATCCTGACTTGCCACCCCGCCCCCGCAGGGCCGCACGGGCAGGTGGGCCACCGGGGATCAGGCGGCCAAAAGCAGGTGTGCATCTGACCCGTCCTTCTGCCTCCACCTCTTTAAATGTTTTTGTTGTAACAGAGGAAACAGCAATTGTAAAAGAGCCCCCCAGCCCGCCCTCACCATCAACTACACGACACCTTACAGATGCTCCGGGCAGCTGGGTGTGAGCGCAGAGGGGAGTACTGCCGGTGCCTCTCCATTTCTGGGCAAAGGATCCCATCTCCAGGGCCTCTGCAGCTACTTCCAGACAATTTCACACCTATTTTTTTTTTTTTTTGGCCAGCCGCCCACCCGGCTTGTGGGATCTTAGTTCCCCGGGATCGAAACCGTGCCCCCTGCAGTGGAAGCGCGGAGTCCTAACTACTGGACCACCGGGGAATTCCCTCGCACCTTTTTATACCCCGAAGCACCAGGGGGCCCCAGGCTGGCCTCCCCAGGCTGCATTTCTGTCTGAAAAATGGCCATGGAGATGCAGAAAGTGGAAAAAAAACAGAACAAAACACGGAAGAGCCAAATATGACCATAGCCTCTAACTGCCCACGCTGATGTCTCGTGCTTAAAACTAAAGAAAACACAGCTGGCCGTTGCAGTGACCAGAGCCATGGGCTGAAAATCCGTTTCTGGGATGGGTGGGGTCCCCAGGAAAGGGAGGGGGCCTCAGCATGGCTGTCGGATGACACATGCCACACAAAAGCCACACAGTTGGGTGACCCTGGGTGACAGGGGTGCGTTTCACAGGCAAAGCCCCCCTCCCGGCCCCTGAAATCCAAGTCACACAACCCAGCTTAGCTACAAGTTCAGCCAATGACACCCGATTTTAGCGGTACGGAATTACAAGGTTTTAAATGAAAAGGAGAAAGATTTCTGAAAAAAGTTCGTTATGTCCCTCCTCCCAACTCCACCCAATTTTTGTCCACTTCACACACCCTGGCCAAAGGCATCACATCATCAACCTGGCTGAAGTCCTCACAAATGGCCAACTGTGTGAGACTCGCCACCCGGCCGGGTCAGCCACGCCAGCGGCTAATTCACTCACCTCCTTCCTGTCTCCCCGCCCAGCTCGGCTCTAGACCATGACTTAAATGGCAACGCCGTTTTCAAAAATCTTTACCGCGTTGCTTGGGCATTTCAGCTATTTCCCATGAGAAGTGGTGGTGGAGCCCGGCCCCCGACAGGGCTGCGATGTTGGGTCTGAAAATCCATCTGAACCCAGAGGATACATTTTACCCGACCTGGGTGACGGCAACTTTTTGCATTTCTTTTGGAATGAAGAGTTTTGCTTGACTGTGTACTGAATGATGCCTTGGCTGGGGTGGGGGGGGGGCGGGGGTCAGGGAGGAGCTGAGGGAAGATAGAGCTATAGGATAATACAAGGCTTCTTGTCCTTAAAGGGGTTCTCCGAGGCGGGGACTCCCACCAGCAGGGGGTCGTTCCGGGCGTGCTGCTCACAATAGCTCATGAGTTCGGAGGAGGCTTTGGAGACCTGTGTGTGGGCACAAGGACAAGAGAGGAAAGATAAGAAGGGGCCGAAGCGCCGTGTCCACAGCAGCACAAAGGTGGAGATAACCCCAGTGCCCGTCACCTGAAGACACACACCGTGTCCCTCCACACACGGGAGCATCACTCAGCCACAAAAAGGAGAGAAGCACGGACACTCGCTACCACGTGGATGGACCCCGAGAACACGATGCTCAGTGAGAGAAGCCAGATGCAGAAGGACCCACAGGATGTGATTCCACTGATGGGAAACGTCCAGAACAGGCAGATGCACAGACACCGAGGGCAGTTGTCAGGGGCTGGGGAGTGACTGCTCACGGGGATGAGCCTCCTTTTGGGGTGATGGAATATTCTGGAATTAGGTAGTGGTGCATTAGGTTGCACAACAATGTCAATGTACTAAGTATCACTAATGGTAAATTTTATGTTACGTATACGTATTTTACCGGAAATTTAAGATCAAGTAAGCAGAAGAACTGAACCTTCTCCAGAGGGGGCTGTGTGGAGTTTGAAGGGAAGGGTCAGGGGAGGAATCAGTCGAAGAAAGGACCTGACGGGGAGAGCCCTGCAGGTACATCGCCCGAGAGGCGGGACGAGGCCTTCGGCATTTGATTCTTGTGCTGTGTGAGCTGTCGCGGTGTCGGTGACCATGGTGAGGGGGCTGACACTTAGGACCCCCTGCGTCAGGGTCCCCAAAAGAGGAGGGAGGAGATGCAGGGAGGGCCCATCGCAGCCCTGGGGGAGCTGACGTGGGTAAAGTGGTGCCTAGTGTCGGGTGGCGGGGGGGGCCCACCCTGCTGGCAGCACCGCGGCTCCGCTGTGGGACCCGGGGGGGCCCCTCGAGTCCCGGGCGCATCTCCGCGGCCTTGACCCCTCAGCAGTCCCCTTCCCACCCGGAAGAGTGGCGGGCAGGGAAAGTTTGCGGAGGGTCTTCTGAGCCCCAGAGCTGCCGCCCCGGGCGCCAGGGCCCCGGGCTCAGATTCCACTGCTCTGCCTGGAAGACAAGCCCCCGGGGGCCCCTGGATGCTGTGCGCCCTCCGCCTCGCCTTGCCGGCCTCTCACTCAGGCCGGCCCTGCGCTCCCAGTCGCCGTCTTGGGGCCTCAAAACCTCAGGCGGGACGGGAGGGAGACCGGTCACGCCCGACTCTGCTCCTCCCCACGTTCAAAGGCCGCCCGCGGGGGGGCCCTCCCGACATCAAACGGGCGGGTGAGTCAGCGGCCTCCTGAGTCAGCGGCCTCCGCCAGGGCCGGGGCTGGCTCGGCGCTGAGAGGAAACCACTTCAACCGTGGCTGCTCTGCCTTCAGCCCCAAGGAATGCTTTGAATGCTCAGAGTCCTGGTACATTCAGACGCCTCGTGGGAGGCGCCCCCCACGACACCACCCGGGGGGTGCGGCAGCCTCCTTCCCACCTGGCTGGGCTGGAGGTGCAAGGCGACGACAGGGGTTGGCCCCATGGCCACATGGGGTCGCGTGTCCGCACTGCCGGACCATCCGTTCCTAACCCGCGACCAGCAGTGACTGGGGGATGACTGTGCTGAGGGAAGCAAGGCCTGAACAGATGCGTGGAGTAACGGCTGATTCTATGTGTCCGCTTAGCTAGGCCAGGTACCTGGCTGTGTGGCCAAATGCCAGCCTAGATGTCTCTACGAAGGTCTTTTTAAGGTGAGATTAACATTTAAATCGATGAGCTTTGAGGAAAACTGGTGACGCTCCATAATGTGGGTGGGCCGCATCTAATCAGTTGAAGGCCTTCAGAGAAAAGACTGAGGTCCCTCGAAGAGGAAGGAATTCTGCCTCCCGACGGCCTCCAGACTCAAGTTGCATCAGCTCTTCCCTGGGTCTCCAGCCTGTGGTTCAGCCCTGCCACCCTGAGACCTGCCAGCCCCACGACTGCGTGAGCCAATGCCTTAAACTACCTCTCATGCTCCCTCTCTGTCTCTAACATATAGTCATAGATCCCTGACTAATCCAGTGGGTAGCTAGAGCACGGCTAATGTGGAAGCATAAATGACCCGTGTCTTCCCTGGATGGAGACTCCCTGGTCCTCACCCAGCCACCCACCAGCTGGGGTCTGGGGCAGGAATCAGCTTCTCAGAGGTGGCTCACGGTCCTTTGCAAAGTGGACATGGGTTTGGTGAGAAGGTGATTTCGAAAAGTGTCAGACAGCTTTCTCGTGTAGGAGGCCATGACTGGCCCGTTGGTCTATATCCTTTGAAAGCCCTGGATGTCATTCTGATGTCCACTCGTGGACTTAAGATTCAGCTATATAAACAAATACGGTCCCTCCACACACGGGAGCATCAGTCAGCCATGCAAAGGAGTGAAGCCCTGACACTCACTACAACGTGGACGGACCTTGAGGATATGATGCTCAGTGAGAGAAGCCTGACACAGAAGGACCCACAGTGTGATTCCATTGATGGGAAACGTCCAGAACAGGCAAATCCACAGACAGACAGTCGGTTCCTGGTTGTCAGGGGCTGGGGAGGGGATGTGGGGTGATTGCTAATGGGGACGGGCTTCTTTTTGGGGGTGATGGAATGTGCTGGAATTAGTCATGATGGTTGCACATTTTGAGTTCACCAAATGCCACTGAATTGCGCACTTTAAAAACAGTTAACTTTATACAATTAAAAAAAAGAAAAAAAGCCCGCAGAGCTGGCTGCCCAATTACGCACTATCTTATTTTGCTTTGCATGTTCCTGGTCCCTGATGGGTTAAGCGCTTGCTAGGAGGCACTGCTTGTCCTTTGGGTTAAGCGCTTGCTAGGAGGCACTGCTTGTCCTTTTCCTTTTTTTAGCTAAAAATCAAACATGCTTATTTCAAAAAATGCAATCAACGCAGAAGTGGCGAAAGTAAACAGTGAAAGGCCCTGTGTCCTCTCTTCCCTGGGGCCGGGCCTCTGACTTCTCTTTGCATCTGTCACAACAGGGGAGCTGGACAGAGCTCTGAGGATGAGGGGACAGAAGAGAAAGTGACTGTCTCACGCTGACCCTTTTGGAGGGGCCTGATTTGGCCTTCTCTGGGGCCATCCAGGGACGGACCCCAAGGGCTGGGGCAGGCTCACAGCAGTACTCGAGGCCTGCCTCTGGTCCCACTCTGTTTATAAAGCATGCTGGCACGTCAATCGTCACAACAACCCATGAGGTAGGTTTACATCAGCTGTGTTTTTCTGCTAAGAAAACTGAGGCTCAGAGAGGTTGAGTGGCCCAAGGTCACACAGCGAGAGGCAGAGCCGAGTGCAAACCCCTACCGTCCTGCTAGCCTCCGTGCCCACCGTTTGCCGAGGGCGCGCCCGGGGGGTCTCTCTCCCCTGCTCACCTTGATGCGCTCAATCCCAGCTTCGATGCGGAGCTGTTCCACCAGCTTCCGAGCCTGGGCTATGTTGTTAGTGGCTGACATTGTCTGCCATCAGCTCTGGGCCCCTGTCGTCCAGAGAGCTGTGGGGAGAAGTAGACAGATGTGAGCTGGCTCATGACGCCCCAGGACTGCAGGTGGAGGACGTCGAGGAGGGATGCCCCATTTCCGGAAACCTCAGGGGGCCCTGAAGCCCCGCCACCCTGCAGCCATGACACCTGTGCCCCTGGGTCACAGTGAGAGGCCCGGCACATCTTCTCCTACAGTCATCTTCTCCTACAGTCCCCTCTTGTGGCTGGTCGGGGGTAAGTGCTCACTGGACATGACCACTGAGGGTCCAGGAGAGCTCACAAAACCATTGCATCGGCTCCTGGTTGGCTCAGAATGAGGGGAGTTTTCTCTGATTCCTGCTCCTGCATTGGGTCCCCTCCCCCCATACTGCTGGCACTGGGGCCGATCATTCTCTCTTGGGGGCTGTCCTGGGCCCTGTGGGGTGTCGAGCAGCCTCCCTGGCCCCCACCCACCTGAAACCAGGAGCACCCCCAGTGTGACAACCACAGATGTCCCCAGACATGACCCAGTACCCTCTGGGGGCAGAGTCGCCCAGGGGCGAGACCCCTGGCTCTGGACCAAGGCAGATCACGTGGGAAGCCTGTACCCGTGGGTCCTGGGTACCCCACCCCTTCTCTGCAGGGCCTGGGCCTGTTTCCTTCCTTCATCTGGTCAGTTGTCCAGCAAATTAAAATTTAATTAAATTTAAAATGTTGCGATGCCCATAGATTCACATGCATTTGTAGAAAACAGTAGAGACGGCCCGTGTACCCGCTGCCTGGTTTCCCCCAGCGGCAGCATCTTGCAAGGCTGTAGTGACGTCATAACCAGGATGCTGACCTTGACACAGGGGAGATGGGGGGCACTTCCACCCCTAGGGTCCTCATGCCTCCCTCCAGGGGCCACAGCCAGGTGGCCAGGCCATGGCTATTGTTCACCTTTTATACTTTAGTACCATGGCCTTGAGAATGCTGTTTATTTATTTATTTATTTAAGGTTGCAATAGGCTATAACTTAGTTTATTATGAATAAAACGTGTAGCGCATGATACGTTTCTACCCCACAAATTCAGTGTTAGAAGAATTCCAACACGACAGAGCTTAGACTTGGCAAGAACAATGCAATAGACAGAGTAAGGCCACTTAAACAGGAAATGGCTCGTGTAAGTAAAATTAACACAAACATCTTCTAGGTATGATTTGGTCTATAACTGGGCAGGATTAAGACAAATGCCATTCAACTTCGGTTAAAAAGTCAAAGTTTCACTGTCGTTCAAATAAAAAGTCAAAGCATGCAATGTAGGAAAAAAATGATAAAAAACCATCTTAACCTGACTTACATCCATATTCAATTAATGAGGAGAATGCTATTTATTTATTTATTTTTTCAATATTTATTTATTTGGCTGCGCCGGGTCTTAGTTGAGGCATGTGGGATCTAGTTCCCCGACCAGGGATCGAACCCGGGCCCTCTGCGTTGGGAGCGCAGAGTCTTAGCCACTGGACCACCAGGGAAGTCCGGAGAATGCTGTTTAAATGGAACCACTCGGTAAGGAGCCTTTCGGGATTGGCTGTTTTTTCCCACTCGACCTAATTATCTGGAGATCCACCCCTGTGGCTGTGCTTATCCACAGTTCATTCCTTTGCAGTAAAGGTCCACGGTGTGGAGGTGCCCCGTAACCCTCTGCCTGTCCGAGAACACCTGGGCCGGCTCCCGGTTCTGGCTGTGTCGGCAAGAAAGCTGCCACAGGCGTCCGTGTGCAGGCTTCTGCATGAATATAAGACTTTATTTCTCAGGGATAAATGCTGAGGAGTGCGACTGCTTAATTTTTTAAGAGAACACCGGCCTGTTTTCCAGAGTGGCTACACAATTTTACATTCCCACCAGCCATGTACGAGTGATGTAAATTTATTTTTTATAATTCAGTTATGCAAAATTTTTCTGTCCCTTAAGGTTGTGAAAATTCTTTTTCCATCCAATCTACATTTAGTGAGCCCTGGGACAGTGGTTCTCAACTGGGGCCATCCTGTCCTCAGGGGACACTGGGCGACACCTGTGGACGTCTGTGGTTGTCACGACAGGGAGAGGGGCTCCTGGCATTAGATGGGATCAGAGAACGACCTGGCCCCAGTGTGCGCGTGGCCCGGGTTGAAGACGCTCCCAGTGGGTCCATGCAGTGTTCGTTCGGGATGGTGGGGCGCAGAGCCCAAGTTCAGGAGTCCCGGGGAGCCGCCCGACTGGGCTGGCTTTTACGCAGGTCTTTCAGTAGCACCATGTGCTTCTGTCATCATACATTGTACCTCTGTCTGTTTCCCAGAGGGGCAGCTGCAGAAAAGTAAAGGCAGAGTTCAGGTTCTCAAAAAATTTCCCTTTCGGAAATAAACAGGAACGGACCGTGGACGTGCACGTCTCGGATGGCCCTCCAGGGGATCGCGTGGAGTGAGAAGGCCAGTCCTCAGAGCCACATGCTGTGCGGTTCCATGTAGAGAACATCCCTGAGACCACAGGGTCGTGGAGATGGACGAGAGGCTTGTGGTTGCAGGCGGGCGGTGGCCTGGGGAGGGGTCTGGGTGGACAGGTGGACACCGGGTCCTCGTGCTGTGTGAAGTGCTGGAGATCTAGACTGTGTGTGTGGGGTTCACGTGTCTGCACAGGGGATAAACTTGCAAAGATCCTAATATACACACACAAGTAAAACTGCAGGAATCTGTGTTCGGTAGGTGATGCAGGGACTTTCTCTCTGTGATCTGGTACGACTGCGTGTGAATCTACAGTGATCTCCATCCAAGTTCCATTAAAAAAAAAAAAATCCCTTCCACACTACTGGCTGCCTGCCTTCCCGCCAGACACCCAGGCCCCTTTCTGGGTCAGAAAAGGCCCGAATGTGTCTGCTCTGGGCATACAGGGCCCACGTGTGGGCTTCCAGAGGGCTCTGATTCAGCAGACAGCTTCAAAGTGGCCACAAAACATCCAATTCAGGGAAAACCGCCCTTGGTTCGACTTAAAAATACCTAAATTACTCAGCGCTAAATATAGATGCTGACAGAGAACAAATGGGGTGGCTTCACAGCATGTTTTCCTTGGAAGGCCGGGGAGTCCTGCTCAGCACCCACACTCAGAGTGTCCACCAGGACCCTAGGAGGCCCGGCTACCCCGTGGGACACCCCAAACCATGGCCTCCCTCGTCAGCTCTAAGCCCCTTGGTGCTGCTGGCTTTCTGTTCTGGGCACGATGCCCTGAGAGGCTCCCTCCAGGCTGGGTTATAACCTGGACCCCCCGGGACTGCCGGAGGGGGCTGCATTGGGGTGTGTGTGCTTGTGTGTGTGCATGCACGTGTGTGTGCATTTGTTTACATGTACGTGCATGTGTGAGCCTGCATGCGTGTGCATGCACGTGTGTCAGTTTATATCTATGTGTGTGCACGTGTGTGCATGAGCAGCTGAGACCAGACATAGGTGCATCACGGCAGCCCAGACAGCAGACCGACGTCCTGGTCCTGGCAGTGTCACAGCCAGTCACTGCCTCACCGCGTGCCCCCCGGGGTTAGGTCAACTCTCGCAGGACAGGCAGTGGCCGTGAGTCAGCCCGGGAACATTCCTCACCAGCTGCCTCCCTGCCAGAGACACGTGACGGCTCCAGGCACCTGACCTGGCCAGGCCTGCCTGGCCCATGGAGACTTGGAAGGCCCTGGAAGCCGGGCAGGGCCTTGGGAAGCAGGAGGGAGGGGTTAGGCGGTTGGGGCTGCAGGTAGCGGTCAGATTCCGCCTGGGGAGTGGCCGGTTCTAGCGTGGCAAGGCTGGGGGCATGACTTGGGGTGAGGTTTGCCTAAAAATAGAAACTTAACAGACGACAGCAGGCCCTGGCTGGCCTCCCAGTAAAGGGCTAGGAAGTCACCAGGGTCAGGCTGGATCCCACAGAAGCACCGCAGGTGCGTGGCTGCAAGGCAAGGACCATGAAGGCCCCGAGCGCGCCAGGATGCATTGTGAGGCTGCGCTGATTACAGAGGGAGGGTCGTCACCGGAGTGTTACAGACCTGAGCCCAGATGCCAGGCTCAAAGGCACAAGAGGATTAAACACAACTGGGGGAGGGTGGTGTTTCTCGATGGTGAGCTGGGGGATGGCAGGATGGGGGACACCGAGTTAGAACAGGGTCCCTCTCCCAAGGCCCTGCTGACACTGGGACCAGGTCACTCTCTGTGGGGGGCCGTCCTGGGCGCTGCGGGGTGCGGAGCATCCTCCCTGGACCCACCCACTCGATGCCAGGAGGCCCCCAGTCGTGACAGCCACAGACGTCCCCAGACATGGCTCCGTGTGGCCCAGGGGCAGAGCCACCCCCCCTCCCCGGCGTTGGAGGGGGGAAACCTCTGGATTATATTAGGCTTCATTTTCCCAACCAAAGAGATTCCATATAAAAAGTCATAGAGGGCTTCCCTGGTGGCACTGTGGTTGGGAGTCTGCCTGCCGATGAAGGGGACACGGGTTTGGGACACGGGTTTGTGCCCCGGTCCAGGAAGATCCCACACGCCGCGGAGCGGCTGGGCCCGTGAGCCATGGCCGCTGAGCCTGCGTGTCCGGAGCCTGTGCTCCACAACGGGAGAGGCCACAACAGTGAGAGGCCCCAGTACCGCAAAAAAAAAAAAAAAAAAAAAAAAGTCATAGAATGGGTACTTCCCTGGTGGTCCAGCGGTTGAGACTCTGCGCTTCCACTGCAGGGGGCGCAGGTTCAATCCCTGGTTGGGGAACTAAGATCCCACATGCCGTGCGGCGTGGCCACAAAGTAAAAAACAAAACAAAACAAGTCATAGGATGAAAAAGAAGATATACACAGATTAGTGAAAATGTACAAAATGTTGATTTTCTGTTTCAGAGAAGTTACCCCCTAGCAACTGAAGCAACAGAACGAGTGGAGATCAACAGCTATGATTGTATACAACTATTCAGAACTTCTTCACGGCAAACCTATAAAACTAAAACCCAAGACCAGCGACCTAGGAAGAACCATGGCAACGATACACTGGAAAGCGACCTCTTTGTCATGTTAATAATACCTTAGCTGGGTATTTTATATCGGGACAGGACTCACTCAAGGAATTCATGTGAAAAGTAATTTAACCGGTAAAACACAAAGTGAACAAAGCGTGGCCTCATTAGCAATTGACGAAAGTAGGTTGGAGGGATCATGGGCTGCCAGCACTTCATTTACCCAGGACACCAGGAAGGCTGCAGGAAGAGCGACACCTGACGCAGGTAGGGATATGCTCGTCCCCGACTCTCTGGTATTGTTGGCCAATCTCAGCCTCGTAAACTGGACATCAGGAGCTTACAAGGCTGTCCTCTCAAATCCCTTGCTGGGGCATTTATCCCGAGGGAACAAAAATCAAGAGAAATAAAAAGCTATGTATAGAAATGTGTTTACAACGGTGTTATTTATAATAGTGAGAAATTGAATGAAACCATGTGTCCTGCAACGGGGGAATGGCTAATTCAGTGGGGTGTTTTCCTAGTGGAGCAACTGTTATAAATGGTACCCAAAGATGGGGAGCCCAGAGGAGGTGTTTCATGAAAAAACAGGGAGATGGATAAAGTGAGGATGTGTGGCTACTTAACACTGTATTAAAACATATGTGGATAAAGGCAGAAGGGGAACCTCAAATTGACAGTCTGGTTAATAATTGTTCTTATGATTTCCTTTAACGAAGTGGTTTCCATTAACGTACAACTTGCATCCAGTAAAATCCGTGCTTTGGGGCATGCAGTCGATGAGAACTTAGAAATGCATACAGCCCCGTAGCCAATACCAATTGTGAGTAAAGCCGTGGTGAACATTCATGTCCAGGTTTTTGTGGGAACCTAAGTTTCTGTTTCTCCTGGGGAAATACCTGGGCATGGGATTTCTGGCTCCTAGGACAGGTGTATGTTTAACTTTACAGGTTAAACATTTTCAAACAGTTTCCAAAGTCACTGCAGGGGATAAACTTGCAAAGATCCTAATATACACACACAAGTAAAAAAATGCGCTGTTTTGTATTTTGAAATAATCACAGACTGACAGGCAGTTGCAAAAATTGTACAAGGTGCGATGCACCCTTTTCCCCGATTCCCCCGATGGTGACATCTTATGTGACTGTGGGACAATATCAAACTGGGACACTGCTGCTGGCCCGATGCTCACCGGCCTCAGGTTCTACCAGCCCTCCCACGACTCATATGTGTGCAGACGGGACGTTTGTCACCACTCACCCCTCCAGGAAGGTCTGGTCTAAATGTCGCCTGTCCTGGCCGCTACCTCTGACTGAGATCCAAGTCCCTTTCTCCTGCATCCCTCACCCAGCCAGGACACCTGCCTGCAGACCTGCCCCCACGCCACCGTGAGCACCCCCATTGACACTTGTGGCTGGATCATTCTCTGGGGCGCCGTCCTGAGCACTGTAGGGGTTTGAGCAGCATCCCTGGCCCCCACCCACTCAATGTCAGGAGCTCCCCCGGTTGTGACAGCCACAGATGTCCCCAGACATCGCCCAGTGTCCCCAGGGGGCAGAATCTAAGGCTTTTGTGGAACTCTCTTATCAGAAGAAACCCAGCAGCTAAAAGAGGTTCATTTAGGCAAAATGCAAAGTTTTTTGGAATTGAAATGGTCCAGTTTGAAGTGAAATGGTACTGAATGGAACAGAAGTTTGTTTCAAAGAGGGTTTAAATTTCTTAGCATCTGAGAATTCCCTGGCGGTCCAGTGGTTAGAACTCTGTGCTGTCACTACTGAGGGGGCGGGTTAAATCCCTGGTCAGGGAAACTAAGATCCCACAAGCTGCTTGGCCTGGCCAGAAGAAAAAAAAAAAAAATTTCTTAGCATCCAACAACCTCTGTGGCTGGAAGAAGTCACACGGGGCCAGAGTTTCCCTCAAACTCAACCAAGAACACATTTGAAGGAGGAAAGAGCACAGCCCTGGGGGGAGAGAGGGGGAGGCAGAGCCCCTGTGGAAAGTGGCAGACCTGCATTCTGTCCCAGGTCCCAAAGCTGTGTGGTTTGGGGAAAGTTACCTCCCCCCTCTGAGCTCCAGTGAGCTCTGCTCAATGCTCAGAGTGACACTCCCTCTCGGCGCAGGGCCTGGCCAACCTCCAGGTCCCCAAGTTCCTATGTTGGGGGACGGGGGCCCCAGAGGCTGGCAGCCACGGGGAGGGCCCTCCTTCAGGAACCTGTGGCAACTGCCACATATAAACACAGCTGCGGGGGAGGAGGGAGGAGAGACAAGGTGCCTGGACCTCCTCGGCACAGTGAGTGGGCACTGGCCGGTTTGCTGGAAGCTACTAGGAAATCTCCCTGCCCTCGGGCTTTGCTGGCCCCGCGGTGGCCACACCACTCATCTGCCCAGGGGCCGGGTGGGGCAGGGCGTCACAAAGCCCACCTGGCCTGGGGGAAAGCGGGGCAGAGTCTGAAGTGGACTGTATTAAAACTAGGAGTGGAGGGACTTCGCTAGTCGAGGGGTGGTTAAGAATCCGCCTGCCAATGCAGGGGACATGGGTTTGAGCCCTGGTCCGGGAAGATCCCACGTGCCAAGGAGCAACTAAGCCCGTGTGCCACAACTACTGAGCCTGTGCTCTAGAGCCCTCGAGCCACAACTACTGAGCCCACGTGCCACAACTACCGAGCCCGCAAGTCACAACTACTGAAGCCTGCACGCCTAGAGCCCATGCTCTTCAACAAGAGAAGCCACCGCAATGAGAAGCCCGCGCACCACAACGAAGAGTAGCCCCCGCTCACCACAACTAGAGAAAGCCCATGCACAGCAACAAAGACCCAACGCAGGCAAAAATACATAAATTAAAAAAAAAAAAAAAGCTAAGCATGGATTCCCTTCTGTCGTTCTGTGGCTTTAAGATCACGCTGATCTA